CGATGCTGCGTTACTTTAACTGACAATTGCACAGTCATGCAAATGAAATTTACTTCCTTTTTTCTCATGAATTGAGCTTTCTTTTGGTGGTATTTGATCGCCTGTGCGTTTATTTTTTGTGCTATAGGAAAAGGAAAAAAAAAAAAAAAAAACACGATTTTGAGGGGGAAAAAAAAAAAAAAAAAAAAAAACCAAACACAGTATTTTTGATTTTTTGCTATTAAATATGTCCAGTAAAAAAAAAACAAATGTAAAAATCAAATTTGGTCATAAATTTAGGCCAAAATGGATTCTGCTACAGGTCTTTGCTAAAAAAAAAAATCCCAATTAGTGTAAATTAATTGGATTACGTGAACGTTATAACGTTTACAAATGGCAGTATATATACTCTGAGATTTTTCTTTTATTTTTACTAGTAATGGTGGCTATCAGCGGGACTGCGGCGGACATTCTGACACTGGGGGGAACTGACTTGGTGTCACTGACATCCCCAGTGACACTATAATACAGTGATCAGTGCTAAAAAAAAAAAAAAAAAAAAAAAAAAGCACCGACACTGTACTAATGGCACTGGCCAGGAAGGGGGTTAACATGAGGAGCGATCAAAGGGTTAACTGTGTGCAGGGAGTGTTTTACTAGGGGGCGGTGTCTGTGTGCTTCACTGTAAGCACACTGCTTTAGATGTGCTGTGCCCTGAGATCTATTATATCCTGCAGGTTTATTGCACTGAAAGTGCACCACACCCACAAGATAATAGAAACCTATGGCTCAGTGCAGATAAGTCGCAGGTGCACTGCGCTGCACCCAAGGTGCGGGTAAAAAGCATCAGTGTGAATGCAGCCATATAGGGGGCTCAGGACAGTGTGGGCTTGTTTACATTTGCGGTCTGGGGGGGCATAAAACACCATAGTTCATTGTGACCTGCAACCGGTTACCAAATCCCTTAAGTGGCCCTCGCTGTACAAAAGAGTGATCACCCCTGACACAAACCCACTGTATTGGCTAGAAAAATGCATTTATTCTGGCCACTGGAATAGCACGCACGCACACCTGGAATATGACCCCAAAAACGCCAAAAATGTACATGGACACATTGGGGGGGGGGGATTTACTAAAACTGGAGCACACAGAATCTGGTGCAGCTGTTCATAGTAACCAATCAGCTTCTAACTTTAGTTTGACAATAAAACCTACTAATTGGTTACTATGCACAGTTGCACTAGATTCTGTGTGCACCAGTTTTAGATAATCTCTCCAATTGGCTTAAAGGTGAAGTTCACCTTTTGGACAAAAATAAGAAATTCACATTTTTTTTGCAGGTAAAAAAAAAAATGTGCATTTATTATTTTGGTCCAAAGGAGCCTCTAAAGCATTGCACCAGGGATCAGTAGATTGGTGATGCCATGAAGGTCTCCTGCAGACCTGTCAGAAGATCTGCCTGGGTAGTTGGGTGTAAGCAGACAGCGGAGTCCGTTTACTTCCAGCCAACCATAGAGCAGTGCTGGCTTTGTCTGTATCCGCTCTGCATAAACTGAGCAGACATGGATGTTTCATCCGCTCACTCTCCTCCAATCACTAGGGGATCGGTGAGCTGATCCCCTGCTGCTTGGAACTGAATCTGCCCCGTGTGAAGGAGGCCTTATGATAAATTTAGAAGAGGCCCTCTGATCAGTGTACACATCATCATCACCACCACCACTCAATCACTCTACCGTACTCTCTGAAAGCATACTTACAGGAGGGGAGAGCAGAGGAAGGGATGCTTGTTCACACCAGCCCCCATGCTAAAGCATCATGGGCTTGTGTCCATTATGAAGGGCTGGGTGATGAGTTGTTAAAACGCAAAGCATTGTTTATTTTTTTTTACACTTTAATAAATTCTAAAACAACGACATGATCCATTGAGTTGACCTGCAGCACTGTGGTGTGAATGGGGCGCATAGAAAACAATTGATTTCTATGTGCCCTAGAATTGAGCCTGTGTAGAATAACAGGGATGGTGAGAATGAGCCCTGACCTTTTAAATCAGCTTCTGTATCTACACTGTCCAGTTGGCAAGCAGAAAGAAGGAGATGCATTTTTTGACCATGCTAACTCAATAGAAGGGTGAATATCAATAATATAATAATTTAGGAAGGGAGGGCTAAAGGGTTCTATACTCTGTACAGGGAAGATATTAGCATTTTTTAGTGGGGGATAGAAGTGATATCCTGAGATGATGGTTTTTTCTTATACCATACCTGGCCGATATTCCTGGAAGCTGAAAATCACCGAGGTAGACACTCCTACTGCAGTCATCTCCATTTGCTTTCCAGTCCTGTGTTGAGTGGCTGTCCTGCTGTATTCTAAACACAGGAGGAGGTCGGCCGTTCAGCACAGGCGCCATTCAGAGAAGGATTTGCATCTTCTGAATTAATGCAAAGCATTCTCTGATTGGAGAAGGTAGAGAGCATGACATCACTACCCACCTCATCCAATCAGAGAACACTTTGTATTCGCTCAGAAAATTGGTGCCAGTGCTGAACGGCCGCCCTCCTGGGGGTCAGTAGGCAGAAGTGGAATCAAATAGCACGGGACCCAGGAGCAAGTGGAGAAGTGGTGCCTACTTCAGTGATTTCCAGCTTCAAAGGGCATCAGCCAGGTATGGTGTGTACATAGATACATTGATGCAAGCTGGACCAAGGTAACTTTGTATAAGATATCCATGCCTGGATTTACTCTTTAGATCACAAGGCATCAAGCAATCCTGTATCCTGATAACAAAATAAACATTCATCCTGGTTTTCACAGACATGTAGACAGACAGTCGCCGATTTTGTGCTGCATTCTAAATGGCTTGTTATAGATTAATATGAGGTCACAATGAACAGTCATTCTTACGGTTTAGGAATATCTAAATTTCAAACAAACGCAGATGCCACATAGTGTCTTTTAATGTTTTCTTCACATTAGTGGAAACAGATACATGTACAGCAACATTTATTTTGTATGTGCTCTGCAACATTTCTTAATACATGCTACTGCAATGCCTTCTATGTCTCTATGTGTCCCCAAGTCACCAGCAGTTAGACTAGGTTCACACCTATGCAGTTTGCGTTTGAACCATTTCTGCAGTGAGTTTTAGGTTGCGTTTTTGTTGCTTCTTTTTTTTTTTTTTTCTTGAATTCTAGGCAGATTTAAAATGCAAAACGCATCAAAAATGAACTACACGCTTTTCTGCAGCGTTTCCATTGAAGTCTATAGAACCAAAAATGCAACTTTTTGCATTCAAAAACGTCCCTGACCCTTTCCAAAAAAATGCACTGGGTGAAAACGCAGAGATGTAAATGTGTCCCATAGGAAATCATGTTAAATGGACTGTAGTGCATTTCTGCAAAATGCTTAGGTGTGAACCTAGGGTTAAAGAGACACAGGTATGATCAGCAGGACAAGCCTGGACTTCAGTTTCTTCAGCACCTCAGGTCAAGTCCTGGCTGATATGCTCTAGATTAGGGGTAGGCAAACTTTGTTCCTCCAGCTGTTGTGCAACTACAAGTCCCATCATGCCCCTCTGCTCTGGGAGTCATGCTAGTAGCCGTCAGATTCTTGCAATGTCTTTTGGGACTTGTAGTTCCGCAACAGCCGAGGGACTGAAGTTTGCCTACCACTTCTCTAGATTCTATTCAACAAGGCACAGAGCAATGAGCAGAGTTCTATAAACTATAGTAACAAGATTTCATCAACCATCAATGATTACAGGAAAATCTGTAACTGGATTTTAGAATGGCCTAAATTGCTGCAGTTTTGTCAAAACGATTATTACAGCAAACAATCAATTCATTACATATATGGCCAGCACTAAGCGTGGAAAAGTGCAGCTCCAAGGCTACATCAGCCCAGAACTTGGCCATTTATGAATGGTCAGCTCTGGACATTTCTGATTCCCACCAATCAGACAAAAGGGTGCAAAACCCCTTTAAGAAGGTTTTAATGAGATTTTAAAAGTGCATCTATAGCCAAAGCTTTTTTTTCCTCTCCTTTCATTTCTTTTTTAAAGTTGGGAACAGAGTAGGGAATGGTTAAATCCCCTGTACAGTGTCCCACTGGGGAGATTTCCCTTCCTGTCTTGGAGACACAACAGGAAGTGAGAGGAATTCCTTTTTTATACAGCTGTCCCCCAGTATGTCCTATCGATTCCTGTTCTAATGATGACCATAAAATGTTGGCATTCTAAACATTGGTATTAGTGGGAAGGATAGTGCCCCATCATTGGTATCAGTGGGGGGAATTAACCCCACTGTTGGTGTCAGTAGATGGAATGCTGCCTCATTGTTGGTGTAAAAAAAATAGCACTCTAAAGGGCCAGATAAAGTCACGCAAAGGGCCACAGTTTAGAAACCACTGACCTGGATAACTAATGATGGTGAACCTACCCAGCAGTTACATGGCAGTAAAAACCTGACTTTCCAACTTTGCTCTATCCAAAACCATAAAAAAGTGTGGGCTTTAGATTAATACATAAATAAAAACAATGAAAGTGATTGGTTTAGAAAACATTTAAAAAGCAACACAAACCAATAATCAATACGGAAAGCACAATGCCAAAAATATAAGTACTAATCACTATTCTAGATATTAGTTGAAAAGAACAAATGTGTCAGTTATTTCAGCTTTAGTTTGGTACCAGGATGACCCATCCTCAGTGTTCTTTTCTCTCTTAGGAGCTCCAGGGGTGGGACAGGCCCTCTACTCTCCTTGATTTAATGGAACTTAAAAAAAAAAAGAACCCAAAAACACACAGCAGAGAACCTACGACCTCCCCAGCATGGCATTGTAACAGACCAGGGTACCTGAGGGCTCATATCTCACTATAGGAGATCCCAAGAGATGAGGAGTTTGTGGACAATTCAACAACATTAATGAACCAGAAATATTGTTTCAGGTTGGACAACCTTTCAATCACCACTGTACAGCTACTTAGATGGGAGATAAAAGTTCAGACTTAAAATAGCACATCCAATCTATGTAGTGTGAGTAACCACAGGAATGTCTATCTCTATGGCCGACATACGGGACCTTGCCGAGTACGAGGGCGCAACGTAGCTGTGCATGCTGGGTACATGGGAATACAATGGCTGCCAAAATGGCGATGGCAAGGACTTGCAGGCACAGTACCACAAAAACAGTAACAGGGCAGTGAGGAACATCCCGCCAGAGCTGCCTATGGCAACAAACACTGCAATGTCATAGGTGAACAGAGACCCGTATTTTCTGTTTAACACATTGGTGTAAAATATGGACCAGATAGAAGGAGTCAGGCTAATGACACCAGCTAGGATATACAGCAAGCCTGCCACAAGATGGCAACCAGCGCTGTTGATGAGACACTTGGCAATTTTTAGGTTCGGCACATTGGAGGTGAAGGTGGTGTTGCATATTCCGGTTAGGCACAAGATGAGGGCGGAGCCAGCGGTCAGGATGCTAAAGGGAAGAGCAAACTGTAGAACACGGATGTCCAGCTGGTCCACGCTGGCGTACCACTCGGTGTCATACATCATGCATTCTCTGCTCCACTCCTGCCGTGTGCACTTCACCCAGAGTCCAATGCTGACTGTCAAGTTCTTCTCATTGCGATTATAGGTGTATAGTCTCATCTGCCGCCACTGGGGTAGCAGGGTGGCAGCGAACAGCCCCGAGATGGAGGCCGTGCCGCAGACAAAGGCCAGCAGGGTCACGGCGTGCACTTCCTGGCAGCCCATTATGTTCTATCGTGGAACCTGGCAGACAATAGAATACAGTATAAGTTTAAAATCAGAGCAAAGTGTATGTGTAGCCAAAATTTTTTTGTTTTAGTTTCAGCATGCAGAATGGTTAGAACATGGGTTTCCAAACTTTCTAAGCAAAGGGCCAGTTTACAGTCCTTCAGCCTTTTGGGGGGAGTGGGGGCAGATTGTGGCCATCGGGAGTAGAAAAAGCCCCATCATTGGTTTTAATGGGAGGAAGAAGGACCAATTGTTGGTATCAATGGGAAGAATAGTGCCATCGATGTCGGTGGGAGAGATGGTGTCCCATTATTGGTGTCATTTGTTAATAATGCCCCCAATAGTGCCCCAAGGGCAAGCTAAGAGCCACATCCGGCCCCCAGGCCACAGTTTGGAGACCATTGGGTTAGAACCCCTGGAAATATGTTTTTTAATGTTCATGTCTCCACTGGGAAGATTCAATCCTCCCATCTGTCCTGGTAACCAAGGTTTCAGATAAAGAAAGTGATGGGACTTCCAAAAAGTTTGAGGTGGTACAAAAACAGATAAGGGGAAGCTTCCGATAGGTACAATTGTTCTTGCAAGAACTGTGTATGAAGGAGTATCCCCTTACTTTGTCTCAACCATTTCCAACTCCATTCAGAACATACAAAAAAAAAAAAAAAAGTTTTGGCTTAACATACATTTATAAACAGACCAAAAAGAGCAAATAAACATGATTATTAGGATTTGCATACACTTAAAGCCCAATTGTCAGCAAGCTATAGAGAAGGAACCTTGCTCTTTGTGTGGAAGCAGTGCTCTTTTTTGTAGAGGTCCAACATGCCCCCTGCAAAGTCAAAGCTAGGACTTGCAACCAGCAAAGCCCATGCTCCCTGATGCCCATGTTAAACTTCATAGAGACCACTGCTTCCTTACAGAGAGCAAGGGTCCTTCTCTGCAGCATGCTGGCAGTGAACAGACCTTTCTACTCAGGATATTGTGTCTTCTAAAGAAAATAAAAACTGTAAAGTTGGCCACAGATGGATCTAAAACCTGGCCAGTTCAGCAGCCGAGATTTGATCCATCTTTGAGAAGGCTCGTTGTGCTGAAATCAAGCCAATCGATAGACTTCAGTACAACCAGCCTGTCAGATTTTTTTTCATGTGATCACTGCTGGCTAGTGGCCATTGTATTCTGCCAGCAAGGATGGCTCCCCATCCGCAGAACACAATAGCGCTGCAGGGGAGACAAGACATCAAGATAAAAAGGTGTATAAAGTCTTAATCAGCCAATAGATTATTCAATTTTCATCTATCTACCACCAAATATATGTCAGTCATTTGCCCTGCCAAAAATATTTGTAATCCAGTCCAGCCAGTATTACACCAATCCCAAAAACACTGCACTGCCATGTAGGTAAAACCTCAAATTATTTTTGCCTCAGCCTCCTGCTTCACCTCCCTTCTTGACATATTGTGTATATTACAAGAATGTTCTGGTGATAATTATTAAAAAGGAACTTTATCCATTTATATAAAATTCAGTTCAGCTGCTGCAAATACTGTAACTGCTGACTTTTAGACTTCAGGTATCAGTCCATGGAGTCCAACGCTGTCTTCCTGCAGCAGATTCTCACTGCTGTAGGTGCCTGGCACCACCATCTTGGATTTGGGAGCCAGCAGGTGACTTCCAGAGAAATCACAGTCGCCTCCCAACTCGCATACGTGTGAGATCGTGCAGGGAGACTGGCCCTGTAACCTCCTGGGGATGTGCGACATCTCCCAAGAGGCTGCAGTTGGGATGAGCGATGTCATTCTTTCCTAAGGGGAAGCTGGTAACAGCACAAAAAAAGAAAAATGAGAAACCCCCCAAAAAACACCCCTCAAATGCATAAGATCCAGTTCACACTTATGCAACTTCTCAAGCAACTTTAGACATCAAAGTTGCATGACAAGTCGTACCCCATGTTTTCCAATAATAACCATTCATAAATGTGTGGTTTAAAGTTGCAGCAACTTCAAAGTAGTTCATGCACTACTTTGGTCCAACTTTCATTCAACTTGAGGACCATGGACTTCAATGTTAACCCTCAAAAGTTGCATGAAAGGCATACCTGAATGTTTTACATGCGACAGTGGGTCTGTCTTTGCAGAGGGACAGGTTGTACTCATCCAAAGTTGCACTCCAAAGTCGTACAAGTGTAAATGGAGCCTTAGGGGCTACAGGGGGTAGGAGGAGGAGAGGTGCTTTCACTATCCAGTAAGCCCTGGTTCACACTGCTGTGACTTCTGGTGTGATTTGCTGCGACCTGCAGCACAGAAAGTTGCAAGACAAGTAAACAAACATTCATTTCAATGGGTTCCGTCCAGGGTGGATTTGATTTAAATCAAACCGATTTAAATCACAATTTAAATCACTAGTCAGTAAGGCTTGATTTAAATCCTAGTTTTCTACATAGACTAATTCTTGCTGGTATAACTTTAATATGCAAGTAGATGAAGATTTTTAGAATAACAACTTTTCATATTAGTTTTTTTATCCCCAGTTTAATAGGTTAATCATTCATATTTGGACAACCTTTCTGTTGTACTTAGGAAGGAGAAAAATAATCATTACCTTAATAATAACAATTTAAATAGATTTATTCAACTGAAACAATAACATTCCAGCATATGTGATTTGCTTAAACATCCATGTTTGTTAACTAATTTGGCTAAACAAAATATATATATATTAAGAAACTTAGACTGTCAGCCCCTTCCTCCTCACACTTAGTTTCACTTTCTTCTTGTGCAGATCTACTCCACTCCAATCAGAAAAATATTGTTTCTATTCTATTCACTGAACTTCTTGAAACTTAGCACTGAAGGGGTTGATTCTGTATTCATAGGTTTGTAGAAGTTAGGATGAAGGTCTTTTTCTTAACTCTGTTCATGTTATAACATTTTTGCTGTGAAGAGGCATGTGATCTCCGCTGAGTCAAATTCAGTTTTGAGAACTGCAAAGTAAACCGATCATCTGTGATAATATCTTGTAGGCAGAGAAACTGCCCAATAATCTTACAAAAACCTCTGGACGAGCATGACATTGTGAATGGATTCATGGAATTTATTTACCAAAAAAATTAAACATATACAGCCTTATTCTACATAATTAAAAAACAAATCTTTATTTCATGATGGAATAACCTTTGGATGGTAATATATTTTCCTCAAAAAGCATTTTATTCAAAAAAATCCAATTTAAATAAAAGAAATCTGATTTAAATAAAAAAAAAAATCCGATTTAAATAAAAAAAAAAAATCAGTTTTTTTTTTCTTTTTATTTTTTTTTTTAAAAATCATTTATTTTTTTTATCCACCCTGGTTCCGTCTCACCTTGCACCAAAGACGCAGAAAAGAGCCACAGCAACTGCAAAGTTAAAATCACAAAAGTCGCAAGGTAGTCGAACCTTTGTCTCATCTTTGCGACTCTGGCTGCAACTTCAGAGGGTTTCAGCCAAAGTCACATTGAAGACACGCAACGTTGTGGTGGAAGCAGTGTGTGCCGGGCCTGAAGTTCTACTTTGAAATTTGAATTTCCATTCTCTTTGCTCACCGGACAAAAAATGATTCAATTCATAGAGAGAGCATACAGAAAGCAATACAACCTGACAGAAATTCTACTCCTTCCTGGCTCTAGAGAAAAAAAAAAAAAAAAAAAAAAAAAAACACCTCAGTTTTGGCTACACATACACACTAACAGAATGACAAATCCCTTAGTAGGTGAAACATTACTTTATAATTATCCCAATTGTGCATGTTGTTGTCAGGCCAGAGATTTTTATATCACTAACAGATAGTCTAGCACTACATTCCGTGCCAGACTGACGCTCTGCAGCTGTCGGAGTATTGGGAAAGCCTGAGTTGCGGGTGTGATCGTGTAGTCACACCTTCTCACCCACACATTGATTCTCATGTAAGGTTTTATATTGGATCTTATGGTGTGCTAAAGTGACAAGAAGGTCAACATAACAAACATTCTAGTTATAGGTAGGAAACATTAGTCATAGCATTTTGAAAAATTAAAAGTATAGTAAAATGTTTTTACAGCGATGAGAATACCAGATCAGAGCCCATTCAGTTTGACATTTCATGTAAATAAGGAAAGCTGCCTATAGACACAATTGAGTTGTCAGATTATACAGACTGCTACTATGGAGACATTGTGTCATATACAAACACCATTTCATTGGGTATGTTGGTGTAGGCTTCTATGGAGAGCGTACAGGGATGGCTCCACAGACATCTCCATGCTCTCTCTAATGACAGGTCCAGAATGTCCGAGGTATGAAGGTTCCTTAAAGGATCAATGTTCTTACCTTCATTCATTCTGTGCATGAAGGTAAAAAACGTTCTCTGTGCAGCATCTCCCCCCAGCCCCCCTAATACTCACTTAAGCCCCCTCTCAATCCAGCGATGTGCACTGGAGTCTCGGCTATCCCAGGACTCCCTCTTCTCATTGTCTGAGACAGAAGCGGGAGCCATTGGCTCCCTCTGCTGTCAATCACAGCCAGTGAGCACATGAGAAGAGTGAGGGGGCGAGGCCAAGCTCCAGAGCCGTGTGTGAATGGAAACATGGAGCAGCGGGTGCCCCCACAGCAAGCTGCTTGCTGTGGGGGCAACCAACAGGCGGGAGGGGCCAGGAGAGCCTGCAGGAGACCCGAGAAGAGGAGGATCTGGGCTGCTCTGTGCAAAACCACTACACACAGCAGGTAAGTATAGACGTGTTTGTTATTTTTAAATAATAATAATCCTTTAGAATCGCTTTAAAATACATCAGGTTATGATAAGTAGATTTTATTGTCTAGCCACTGCTGTTGATGTTTGGCTATCACCTTTCTATGTTATATTCTTGCATATATCGTACTATGCAACTTTTGGATAAAGGAATTACCAAAAAAAAAAAAAAACAACCACACACAATCAGATTTTTTTGCCATATCTGCCCAAATAGGCAGACATAAAAGGATAAGC